AATGCTGTAGAGGCTATGAGTAAAATGAGAGAAGCAAATATATCTAGTACTAACATCATTTTCTCATTATATTAATATGAAATTGGGGATTAGAAGGCCAGCATTTGGTATTCCTACAGCAATAATGCACATCAGTAGATGTCACCTTGTCAGGATTGTTATCAACATCGGTTTTAATTAACTTTACTTGTCCCAATGTTGTTGTGACCCCTGAAAGGATTGTGAGGAATTATATCATGTTGTTCCCTACACATCCCCCAGGGGGGAACTTATACTGCCTGATCACTCCACAACCCCCACCCCTCTCCACATACAAGGCTCTCATGCCCTTTAACCTTTGACATCACTCGCTGGCCTGCAAAAGAGTGGAAGTCGTATCACACTTCTTTAGATAAGGATCTTGCCTTTAAATCTCCAACTCTGTGGGTCTACCCTGACATAAGTCTGGTCACTATTACCATGTTTAGCCATCAGAGATAGAAGAAGAGAGTGAGTTATTCCCCCTAAGACACAAAACATAGCATTAATCCCTGTGGAGCTAGACCTGGAGGAAATTGGATTTCACCCCACATGTCAGCTGAGTATTTATCCTGCTATATTAAACACAAGAGAAGGAAAATATAATCCAAAGAGTAAAGCAGAAGATCCAGTTTTATCTATAAAGGAAAATAACCCCCAGTATAGTCAAGCTGATGTTCTGGTCCTTCTACCTTGATTTAAATTACTTCTCCACCGTCTCAAGTTACGACTTGTCTTTAGTGGTCTGTGTGTTCCACTTATTCCCTCCACCTCCCTGACTTTACCCTTCAGGCCTGTGTCGCACAACTCCGCAGCATTAATGGATGTGGACGTCTGGCATTGCTACAGATTTGTATGCGCTGATAACGCTTCTGCTTTGGTAAAAAGATTACGTTCGAAATAAAAGGCACATGATTGGGTTAGAGTGAGGAACAACATATGACAATAAAGCCCATACACAGTGAGCTGTAAGTCATTCTGCCGGAATCACATTCATCATGATGTATGCTTTGTTTGTTATCTAAAGGATGTTTTTCGTATTGGGGCTCTGGCTTCTTATATCTTGATGTCGGATGAATCATCTCTCCAAACACCACCCTTTGCTTTCAGACCACAAGCTGATTCAAGCTGCCTTAAAGCGTCATCCTCAGTGGGAGATAATAGCAGCGCAGCACTTGGTAGAGAACAGCGATATATGTCGTGTCTGCTTTTGCTTATTAAATAAACTTCTCTCTCTGTATTTTCTCTGGTTCTTTTAAAGCCTGGCAGACACAAATGACTGATTAGTCTTCTGTGTTGCTTCTGTTTTCACACATTCTAGTTTCATGACTCCTAACAGTATCGGGTAGGTTATTTGAAATTTAAAAAAAAAAAAGTCCAAACTACATGCTTCTTATTTATTGGTTTATTTCATATCCACACACCTGCATCCATATCATCATGGTTTTGAGTTTCTATTGTATGTTTGGTAATTCTTCTACTGCTTAGCCATGCTTTAGGAATTAATGGAATTTACCACTGATTTGCTGAAATATGCAAGGTCTTCCCTGAAAAAAGCGTTGTCTGTATTGGAGCATATATTGCTTTAAATCTGGTGTATATCTATCTGCATCAATTGTACCTTTCCAAAGCAAAAGCTGCCAGTTCCATAGAGACTAATGCACCTTCATACCATCAGCGATACTGTCAGAGGCTTTTTAGTTAAACTAAACTTTTTATTCATCTGGTCACAGAACAGTTTTCCACTTTACTTCAGTCTATTTCAAATGAGCTTTGGTCGAGAAAAAGAAGATGGCAGCATTTCTGGCTGATGTTCACAAATGGCTTCTTCTTTGTATGAAAGAGCTTTAACCTGCATTTATGGTTGACATGGTGAACTGTGGTCACAGACGATCATTTCTGGCAGTGTTTTTGAGCAAATGCATTGATTTTCATGATAGAGTCCTTCCTGTTTTCAACACAGTGCTCACTTAGGGCTTAACGTTAATCAGCATTCAATATTGTCCCTTGCGCACAGAGATTTCTTCAGATTTTCCTAATCATTTTATGATATTATGCACTGTAGATGATTAAATATTGAAATTCTTTGCTAAATACTCTAGGAAAATCAGTCTGTCCTATTCTGCATGTTTACTCCTGAGAGCTTCTCCCCTCTGCTCTTTTTATACCCAGTCATATCACTGACCTGTTGCTAATTAACCCAATTAGTAGCAAAATGTTCCTCCAGCTTTTCAGAACTACTTACTTTTCCAGCCTTCTGTTGTCCCTTTCCCAACTTTTTTGAGATGTGTTGCTGTCATTAAATGGCCTGTATTTGTATAGTGCTTTACTAGGCCCTAAGGACCCCAAAGCGCTTTACACATTCAGTCATCCACCCATTCACACAATGGTGATGGCAAGCTACATTGTAGCCACAGCCACTGGGGCGCACTGACAGAGGCTGCTGGACACTGGCTGCCACCCTCTGACCACCACCAGTAGGCAACGGGTGAAGTGTCTTGCCCAAGGACACAACGCCCGAGACTGTCCAAGACGGGGCTCAAACCGGCAACATTCCGATTACAAGGCAAACTCCCAACTCTTGAGCCACGATCGCCCCACACAACAGCCTTATTTCTTCTTTACCCCCTGGAGTGAACAGACACACCAACATATCACATGACCGGTTTAAGATGACCTAGCAGCTAGACACAGCCCGAGTTTCAACTTTTGTTGAAAGTGCAGACTTTAAACTACATACCAGTTTTCATTATAACAGTGGAGTTATTTGGGTTTCTTGGCAGTTTGATGTATATAAGTCCTACACCAAAAAAATAGATAAGAATTCAAAAGCAAAAATATTCTGAATCACATTTAGTGTTATATTTTAGATAGTTTCCGTGGATATTTGGGATTCAGGTATTTGTTTTAGTTTGATATTGCAAGGCACTATTTGCTAGCAATGGTTGGTGCAGCTCTCCCAAAAGTAGGATTAGATTTAGGTTTAGCATATATAGCAACTTCAACCTCAGAGTGTTGAATGGTACATTTACTCATTTCAAACATGTGTTTTCTGAGTAATTTATGAGTTTTGGCATCATTGCATTCTTGTTATATTTACATTAAAATATCATTCCAGCTTCTTTGGGATTGGGGTTGAATTTAAGAATGGGTATTCTACTGATATACTCTTTGTGTCTCCTTACACACATTTTAATTTTAATTTACAGAACTAGTAATCCAAATCTAAAATTAGTTGTCTAACTCAGTGTTGGTCCAGCCTAAACAAATTAGTGCAGCAACAATTTCTGATTAATGCTAAAATCGCCCAAATACTGCAGTGGGACACAGGAACACTCAAGAGAAACTGTGCCTTCTTTGAATAAACAGGAAAAATTATGTCCTGTTATAATTATACCAAGCACATTCGACATTAGTTTCTCACTCATTATTGGCTCTTCTTTTATTTGGCCCCATGGGCTAAACCAAAAGTCCTCCTAGGCCAAAGAGTGCCATGGGAGGACGTACAAAAGGGTCCCTTTAGCCTCAGACTGGCTCTGTGTTCGCCACTGTGATAACAACATCCTTCAAACCACTTTCCCAACAGACTGCTTGGCTGATCAACAGACTCCTTTTATTGTCACCTCACAAAAGCGTTGATTTAATCTTTGAGGCATCAGATCATTGGAATGAGCAGTGACTCCAGTCATACAGAATTCCTGATTTGGAGTGTGATACCCACAGGGTGCAATGGTATAAAAGAAATTCAGAGCCCTGTTTAGAGAAATGACCTTCTTCTAAACCCTCAACATAGAGTGTGGTCTTTGTTTCTCTCTTGGGATGAGTCGCTGAAGACAATGAGACAAGCTTCAGTGTGGCATTTAGGTCGATGGGCCAACAATGTGTATAGTGTCGAAGTTAGATGATCTGATTATGAGGCTGACAGAGTGGATGTCAAGTGTGTTGTACATTTCTTTCAGTGTCTGACAGCGAATTTGTGCTCACGTAGTTTCATTCAGATCGTTGTGACCCTGAGCGACACACTTCATCACTCATCCTTACTCGGCACAGAAGCTGAAACTTGGTTGGTATTTAGATCAGGTCACCTCACAAAGCCATTTATTAGATAGCTGACAAATAACTATATGAATGGTCTTATCACATCACAAGAATACAAAATCAGCAAAGTGCTGTAAACACTCTTCTGAGAGTTTGGTCCATATTGACATGATAGCATCACAAGCTTTGGTGAGTCTGTGTGAATTGTAGCCTCAGTTTCCTGTTCTTCACTGACAACAGTTACATCCGGTGCAGTCTTCTGCTGCTGTAACACATCTGCTTCAAATTTTAAACGTTGTGGGTCCAGAGATGCTCTTCTGTATACCTTGGTTTTTTTCAAGTGGCTGTTTGAATTACTGTTGATTTCTATCAGCTCCAAGCAGTCTGACCATTCTCCATTCTCTGACCTTTGATATCAACAAGACATTTTACCCAGATAACTGATGTTCGCTGGATATTTTCTCAGACCATTTTCTGTAAACTCCAGATATTTATAATTGTGTAGGAAAATCCCAATAGACCCCAGTTTCTGAAATACTCTGACCAACAACCACAAAGTCACTTTCTTCCCCATTCTGATGCTCAGTTTGCGTGCCTAATGCATTGAGTTTACACTATTTGATTGCTGAATAGATATTTGATGAATGGAAAAGCCAAGAGGTACTGGGTTTAGACTTATATTGTCTAAACATAATGAGAGTGTGGTGCTCAGGTGTCTGACTTTACATGGAACGTGAATTCCACACTTACAGCTTGTTGAGAAAGTAACACTTAAATAAAGAACTAGTCCGAGTACACAATCAGGGCGTTATGCCAAGAAGCTTGTTTGGTTTAGATTGTTTGCTTTAAAATACATCATGAAACTTTTTTTTAACTGTATATACATGTGCCATTTGACCCATTAGACTTCATGTTGACAATATGAGCTACTTAATATGTCCTACCTTGGCAAACCGTATCGCCGAAAGGGGTGCACGACTCTAACTCCTCCACCTCATCACAGGTACTGCAAGGAATACAAGGCTCCCAAAAGCTTTCCTGGTCCGAGTAGGTGTCCCCAGTGCAATTCTCACACTTTGTGTCACGGTCATCTTCACAGCTGTACAGCATTCCCTGACCTTCAGGACACTTAGTGCAGGGTAGACAATTCTGCGAGGTTTCATCCAGGTAGAAACCATAGTTGCACGTGCAAATGGCGTCGGCGGAGTCAGTGCAGGGAGTATGCATGCGCAATAGACCTGAGCACTGCGTGCAGGGCTGACATTCCTCTGTGTGGCTTATGCTTTCTGAGAAGGTTTCACCTGAAGAAAGAGAGAAGAAAACTGACATGAAAGCTGTTCATTTAACAGAAAGATAAATACAGATAACATTCTGACAAAGCCTTTGCTATAAGAAACTACACACTCTTTTTGAACATTTCCACAGCCCATTCAGTTGGCCTCTGCAAATAGCTGAATGGCAGTCAGGCTCATTAACCAGTACCTAAAGCCATTAGGGACCTACAGTATGACTTTAGGTCATTACCTAAAGTTTATTGAGGCAACTGATGTTGTGATTAATTTTATTGTATTTACCCATTGTTAGTGATACCACTTAGCCAAATAAGTCAAGAGTGTGTATACATCTTATTTTCCAGCATCTGCAACCGCTCCAGTGATGTTATTGCACCCTTATTAAGCTGTCAACATTAGCTACACACTTTAGTTTGAATGAATTAATATTCTGCATTATTCAAATAACTGTACTGTGATTTGTTTTTAGTGAGCAGGTTTCAAGTCTTTATTTTTATATTTAATATTTAAAATATAATATTTCATTTAGCTTTCTAAATATATTTAATTTTTTTTATTAATTTTAATGAGTGAGATTGTCATCTTGGGGAGAGTGATTACAAAGCACACAAAACACAGTGGATGCAGAAAAAAAAACAAGTTGAATAAAACAACCCAGACGTAGAAAAATGTTTTCTCCTTCACAACAAGCACATCTTAGTGAAATCCTTTGCACATTTTGGTTTTTGTCACTTCCACTGCTGTTCTGTCACGTTAACGTCTCCCCCGAATCACTTTTGTTGTCTTGTGTCAGCTTCTGTTTATTTGTTGTTGTTTTTGTTGTGTGTTTTAGCGTTGTGTTTTTTTTCCTTTTTCTTAGATTTCAGTACGTTTGACCTCTTGGGGCCACCGTAGGATTCAGTCTTCCAAAAATCAAGTTGGGACAAGGGAATTAAGCTATAAGGTTATTTTTCCTGGTGGGCATATAAATGCAAAGAGGTCACTAGGAACAAGAAAGGACTTTAACAGTATTTCATAAAAGGATGTTTCTAGAAAATTATCATCGTTACTTGAAATGTTTTGTAAATGATATGTAGTGCAGTATATGTGCAAAACTTCCAGGACAGATATAGATGCAAAGGACACAATCAATATTGCATGTTTTATGGAATTGTATTTCGGCTAGATAGAGAACTGGGAAACCCACTAAATTATGCAACAGACCCATTTGTAAGAGCAGCTCGTGTGTGTATGTGTGTATTAGAGACTGGTGAATTTATCTTGGCAGAATCTAACTTCATAAATTCTGCCAAAAATGTGTTGTTGTTGTTTTTTTATTTCCAGTTTCTGACTCTTGCAGAGTTGCAGTTTGTCCTTGGCTAATGCAAAAATATCAAACAAGTTCAACAAAATAAATACTTTTTGTGGAAACTGTGGAAAAGCATTGTACCATTTTTTTTATAAACTGCATAAAGCAAATATAAAGATCAGGTTGCTAATCTGTAGACTAACAGCAGCAATGAGTATCTATGATAATGGTAAATAAGATGGAAGTGAACTGCTTCGATAAAGACATATTTTAAGATAAAGCAAAAGAAAACAAGTGCTTTAACTCTGAGGATTATGTCCTCAACTACCTGCTTTGTGAGCAAGGTGGTGAAATGTGTGCAGTTTACTGTAGATTTTTTTCTTGTTTTCCCATCTTTAAAGCAAACTGAAATAAACTAGTCTCTTGTAGGAGACAGAAGGCTTTTGGTATGCAGTCTGCCATGACCCTCTGCTGTTCAGTGTCTGATAGCGTATCAAGTTTTTTTGGTCTGCGTCACTGGCCCACCAACCTCGGCGAATGCTCTGATGATGCAGAGATTACAGCAGAGATAGGGAGAGACAGACAGACACGGACGGATGGAGAGAAGAAAAGAAGGTCGTGTCATTTGAGAACCCGATGAATCTGTGTGTGCAGTTGTGCCTTAAATTGATGGTGTCAAATGTGGGTCCTTCACATTTTTGTTTAATTCTGTCTTCAGAGGTGGACTATTGTCCTCCCTCTTTATGTGGGCCTATTGCATTCGTGTACTGAAACCCTACCGCCACCATCACACTCCCTCTTGCCCCTATTATGTCCCACTACACCCTCCCCACTCTTGGACTACCCTCACTCCCCCTTCCCCATGAGTGCTCTCAGAGCCATTATCATAATGCCATGCATCAATAATGCAAGTCAATACATTAATAACACTACGCTGTAGCATGGAGAGAAGAGCTGGGGGAGTGGGGGTTGGTTATGGTGCTGGAGGGAGGGGGAGTACTGACGGCCTCTTCGTGGTTCGGCGTATCATAACTTTTACTACTTGTTTAAAACTGAATCCTTCGCTTTGTTTTCAACACCCATAAAAGGAGTCCTGACTTTATTCTCTACGGCTCCGAATGTGTGTTAGTCTGTGTGAGTGTGTGGGAATTTTCCTGGACATGTTTGTACGTGAGTGTGTGTGAACCATTTACTGAGAAGTTTGCCTTGTTTCTATTCCACTTCCACGTACAGCTGTACTTGTTCTGTTTCATCTCCACTTATCTGCTCATTCAGCCAAACTCCTCAAGGGCTTTGGCTAGCTATCTTTTTTAGCACTTCTGCCAGGATCCTGTTAACTATCTGCACTAAATGAAGACACAGACTTCCTAGGACACTAGGAAGTCTGTGTCCTATAAACAGATTGGTGTGCAATCTGATTCTATTAAAAGTAGGCGATATGCCTGAACCAGCACATGGAAGGACACATGGTGGGTGGAAGGAAATGCGATGCTTTTGTTTTGAGACTCTCAGAGAAAGCAAAACTGTAACATATTATGGTTCCTCATGTAAGAGTTGAGCGGCACACAGGACATCATACCAATTGATAGAAGTAACTTTTAAGTTTAAACTGCAGATGTCTATTATTAAAAGATACCTCCGTTATAAAGCTTTCAAATGTATTAAAATGTTCATATATTTTTGTATCACATGCCATTACATCCTGTCACGTACACACACACACAC